GTTCTAGATATAGTTCTATGGATGGTTCTAGATATAGTTCTATGGATGGTTCTAGATATAGTTCTATGGATAGTTCTAGATGTAGTTCTATGGATGGTTCTAGATATAGTTCTATGGATGGTTCTAGATGTAGTTCTATGGATGGTTCTAGATGTAGTTCTATGGATGGTTCTAGATGTAGTTCTATGGATGGTTCCAGATGTAGTTCTATGGACGGTTCCATATGTAGTTCTATGGACGGTTCTAGATATAGTTCTATGGACGGTTCTAGATGTAGTTCTATGGACGGTTCTAGATGTAGTTCTATGGACGGTTCTAGATGTAGTTCTATGGACGGTTCTAGATATAGTTCTATGGACGGTTCTAGATATAGTTCTATGGACGGTTCTAGATATAGTTCTATGGATGGTTCTAGATATAGTTCTATGGATGGTTCTAGATGTAGTTCTATGGATGGTTCTAGATATAGTTCTATGGATGGTTCTAGATGTAGTTCTATGGATGGTTCTAGATATAGTTCTATGGATGGTTCTAGATGTAGTTCTATGGATGGTTCCAGATGTAGTTCTATGGACGGTTCCATATGTAGTTCTATGGATGGTTCTAGATATAGTTCTATGGACGGTTCTAGATGTAGTTCTATGGACGGTTCTAGATGTAGTTCTATGGACGGTTCTAGATATAGTTCTATGGACGGTTCCATATGTAGTTCTATGGATGGTTCTAGATGTAGTTCTATGGATGGTTCTAGATGTAGTTCTATGGACGGTTCTAGATATAGTTCTATGGACGGTTCCATATGTAGCTCTATGGATGGTTCTAGATATAGTTCTATGGACGGTTCCATATGTAGTTCTATGGATGGTTCTAGATGTAGTTCTATGGATGGTTCTAGATGTAGTTCTATGGACGGTTCTAGATGTAGTTCTATGGACGGTTCTAGATGTAGTTCTATGGATGGTTCTAGATATAGTTCTATGGATGGTTCTAGATATAGTTCTATGGATGGTTCTAGATATAGTTCTATGGATGGTTCTAGATGTAGTTCTATGGATGGTTCTAGATATAGTTCTATGGATGGTTCTAGATATAGTTCTATGGATGGTTCTAGATATAGTTCTATGGATGGTTCTAGATATAGTTCTATGGATGGTTCTAGATATAGTTCTATGGATGGTTCTAGATATAGTTCTATGGATGGTTCTAGATGTAGTTCTATGGATGGTTCTAGATATAGTTCTATGGATGGTTCTAGATATAGTTCTATGGATGGTTCTAGATATAGTTCTATGGATGGTTCTAGATGTAGTTCTATGGATGGTTCTAGATGTAGTTCTATGGATGGTTCTAGATGTAGTTCTATGGATGGTTCTAGATGTAGTTCTATGGCTGGGTGATGGGGTGTAACTCACAAAGTCAAAGTCTCCGTCCTGAGGAACCTTCCAGTTGTCAGGGAAGACGTTCTTAGCCTGGCTGATGTGATAGCCTGGATCCTGCTGCTGGTTATGGTTATAGCTCTCCTGTTGGACCTTATTAGAGTCCTGCTTGTCAAAGTAGTCCATGAAGGAGGGTCTCAGGGCCTGCTGGGGGGTGGGGTGTCCTGGGGAGAGAGGAAACAATTACTTTTCTATATAAACCTTGAGAAAGTATTCATACCCCTTGACTTATTCCACATTGTTGTTTCAGCCTGAATTCAAAATGGATTCAATAGATGTTTTTCTCACCCATCTACACACAATACCCCATAATGACAAAAGTCAAAGATGTCTTTAGAAATTTTTGTAGAAGCACTTTTGGTGGCGATTACAGCTTTGAGTTGTCTTGGGTATGTCTGAACAGCAATCTTCAAGTCTTTCCACAGATTCAATGGGATTCAAGTCTGGGTTCTGGCTGGGCCACTCAAGGACTTTCACATCCTCGTTCTGAAGCCATTCGAGCGTTGCTTTGGCTGTATGCTTAGGGTCACTGTCCTGTTGGAACGTAAATCTTCGCCCCAGAAGGTTCTCATCAAGGACTTGCCTGTATTTGGCTCCATTCATTGTTCCCTCTATCCTTACCAGTCTCCCAGTCCCTGCTGCTGAAAAGCATCCCCATAGCATGATGCAGCCACCACCATGCTTCATGGTAGGGATGGTGTTAGACGGGTGATAAGCTGTGCCTGGTTTTCTCCAGACATAGCACTTTGCATTCAGGCCAAAGAGTTCAATTTTTGTCTCATCAGACCACAGAATCTTTTGCCTTATGCTCTGTCTTTCATGTGACTTTTTGCAAACTCCAGGCATGCAGCCATGTGACTTTTCCTCAGGAGTGGCCTGGCCACTCTCCAATAAAGGCCAGATTGGTGAAGTGCTGTAGAGACGGTTGTCCTTCTGGCAGGCCACTTGCTCCGTTTGGTCGGACGGCCAGCTCTAGCCAGAGTCTGGGTAGTTCTATATTTTGTCCATTTCCCAGTGATTGAGACCACTGTGCTCTTGGAAACTTTCAACACAATTCTATCTCTGCGATATACGGACAGTTCCTTGGACTTCATGGTAGAGTTTCTGCTCTGACATGACCTGTACTCTGTGGGACCTTCTATAGACAGGTGTGTTTCTTTCTAAATAATGTCCAAACAATTGAATTGGCCACAGGTGGACTCCAATCAAGTTGTAGTGACACCAAGGATGATCAAAGGAAATGTGGATGCACCTGAGCTCAATTTGGAGTGTCATTACAGTTGAAGTCGGAAGTTTACATACACTTAGGTTGGAGTCATTAAAACTAGTTTTTCAACCACTCCACAAATTTCTTGTTAAACTATAGTTTTGGCAAGTCGGTTAGGACATCTACTTTGTGCATGACAAGTAATTTTTCCAACAATTGTTTACAGACAGATTATTTCACTCATAATTCACTGTATCACAATTCCAGTGGGTCAGAAGTTTACATACACTAAGTTGATTGTGCCTTTAAACAGCTTGGAAAATTCCAGAAAATGATTTCATGGCTTTAGAAGCTTCTGATAGGCTAATTGACATCATTTGAGTCAATTGGAGGTGTACCTGTGGATGTATTTCAAGGCCTACCTTCAAACTCAGTGCCTCTTTGCTTGACATCATGGGAAAATCAAAAGAAATCAGCCAAGACCTCAGAAAAAAAATTGTAGACCTCCACAAGTCTGGTTCATCCTTTGGAGCAATTTCCAAACGCCTGAAGGTACCACGTTCATCTGTACAAACAATAGTACGCAAGTATAAACACCATGGGACCACGCAGCCGTCATACCGCTCAGGAAGGAGACGCGTTCTGTCTCCTGGAGATGAACGTACTTTGGTGCGAAAAGTGCAAATCAATGCCAGAACAACAGCAAAGGACCTTGTGAAGATGCTGGAGGAAACAGGTCCAAAAGTATCTATATCCACAGGTCCTGAGGTTTGCGGTTTAAGTCTGTCCACGTGCATTATCATGTGTCAAATAAAATAGAAATATGGATCACAAAAACTAGATATTAATGTCAGCTACAGACCTATAATAAAAGAGGTCTGGATTTGGAGTCACCCTCAAAATTAAAGTGGAAAACCACACTACAGGCTGATCCAACTTTGATGTAATGTCCTTAAAACAAGTCAAAATGAGGCTCAGTAGTGTGTGTGGCCTCCACGTGCCTGTATGACCTCCCTACAACGCCTGGGCATGCTCCTGATGAGGTGGCGGATGGTCTCCTGAGGGATCTCCTCCCAGACCTGGACTAAAGCATCCGCCAACTCCTGGACAGTCTGTGGTGCAACGTGGCGTTGGTGGATGGAGCGAGACATGATGTCCCTGATGTGCTCAATTGGATTCAGGTCTGGGGAACGGGCGGGCCAGTCCATAGCATCAATGCCTTCCTCTTGCAGGAACTGCTGACACACTCCAGCCACATGAGGTCTAGCATTGTCTTCCATTAGGAGGAACCCAGGGCCAACCGCACCAGTATATGGTCTCACAAGGGGTCTGAGGATCTCATCTCGGTACCTAATGGCAGTCAGGCTACCTCTGGCGAGCACATGGAGGGCTGTGCGGCCCCCCAAAGAAATTTCACCCCACACCATGACTGACCCACCGCCAAACCGGTCATGCTGGAGGATGTTGCAGGCAGCAGAACGTTCTCCACGGCGTCTCCAGACTCTGTCACGTCTGTCACATGTGCTCAGTGTGAACCTGCTTTCATCTGTGAAGAGCACTGGGCGGCAGTGGCGAATTTGCCAATCTTGGTGTTCTCTGGCAAATGCCAAACGTCCTGCACGGTGTTGGGCTGTAAGCACAACCCCCACCTGTGGACGTCGGGCCCTCATACCACCCTCATGGAGTCTGTTTCTGACCGTTTGAGCAGACACATGCACATTTGTGGCCTGCTGGAGGTCATTTTGCAGGGCTCTGGCAGTGTTCCTCCTGCTCCTCCTTGCACAAAGGCGGAGGTAGCGGTCCTGCTGCTGGGTTGTTGCCCTCCTACGGCCTCCTCCACGTCTCCTGATGTACTGGCCTGTCTCCTGGTAGCGCCTCCATGCTCTGGACACTACGCTGACAGACACAGCAAACCTTCTTGCCACAGCTCGTATTGATGTGCCATCCTGGATGAGCTGCACTACCTGAGCCACTTGTGTGGGTTGTAGACTCCGTCTCATGCTACCACTAGAGTGAAAGCACCGCCAGCATTCAAAAGTGACCAAAACATCAGCCAGGAAGCATAGGAACTGAGAAGTGGTCTGTGGTCACCACCTGTAGAACCATTCCTTTATTGGGGGTGTCTTGCTAATTGCCTATAATTTCCACCTGTTGTCTATTCCATTTGCACAACAGCATGTGAAATGTATTGTCAATCAGTGTTGCTTCCTAAGTGGACAGTTTGATTTCACAGAAGTGTGATTGACTTGGAGTTACATTGTGTTGTTTAAGTGTTCCCTTTATTTTTTTGAGCGGTGTATATAAACTAAATGATCACAATATGTTAGTTATAGCCTACGGTACCATCCTGACAAGCTCTACTCACTCCTCATGGAGCCTTCATCGTTGTCCTCCTCCTCATCATCACTGTTGATGACCATGGTTCCCAGGTCTGCCTCTAACATGGTGCTGCCGTGCTCTATCATGGTCTGAGCTCCGTCGCTCATGGTGCTGGCAGCTCTCATGGTGCCAGCCCCCTCTGATCCAGACTTCACCATGGTGTGGGAGTCCACCTCCACCTCCTCCTCCTAGACACAGAGAGAGGAGACTTACTTCTAAAAGGTATTTTTACTCCAGCAGTTGGACAGTAAGTTACTTGGATTCATTCATACAGTGCCTTCAGAAAGTATAATATAATAATAATAATAATAATAATATGCCATTTAGCAGACGCTTTTATCCAAAGCGACTTACAGTCATGCGTGCATACATTTTTTTGTACTCACACTCCTTAACTTTTTCCACATTTTGTTGTGTTACAGCCGGAATTTAAAATGGATTAAATTGAGATTTTGTTTCACTGGCCTTCACACAATACCCCACAATGTCAAAGTGCAATTGTGTTTTTAAACATTTTCCTAATTAATAAAAAATGAAAAGCTGAAAAGCTGAAATGTCTTCAGTCAACAAGTATTCAACCCCTTTGTTATGGCAAGCCTAAATAAGTTCAGGAGTAAACATTTGCTTAACAAGTCACATAAGTTGCATGGACTCACTCTTTGTGCAGTAATAGTGTTTAACATGATTTTTGAATGACTGCCTCATCTCTGTACCCCACACATACAACTATCTGTAAGGTCCCTCAGTCGGGGAAGGGAATTTCAAACACAGGTTAAACCACAAAGACCAGGGAGGTTTTCCAATGCCTCGCAAAGGACACCTATTGGTAGATGGGTAAAAAAAAAAGCAGATATTGAATATCCCTTTGAGCATTGTGAAGTTATTACACATTGGATGGTGTATCAATACACATGGGATGGTGATATGATGTTTTTATGGTGTAATGATGTCATGTCATAGTATCGTGGGGAACAGAGTTACTAGATAAGTGGTGAGGAGACAGAAAGTCTATATTCATCTTGAACTTCTCAATACCAGAAACTCATCATAACAGATGGTGTATCAATACATTTATTTTTATTTTATTTCACCTTTATTTAACCAGGTAAACCAGTTGAGAACAAGTTCTCATTTACAACTGCGACCTGGCCAAGATAAAGCAAAGCAGTGCGATAAAAACAACAACACAGAGTTACATATGGGGTAAAACAAAACAAAGTCAAAAATACAACAGAAATACATATATATACAGTGTGTGCAAATTTAGCAAGTTATGGAGGTAAGGCAATAAAATAGGCTATAGTGCAAAATAATTACAATTAGTATTAACACTGGAATGATAGATGTGCAAGAGATGATGTGCAAATAGAGATACTGGGGTACAAATGAGCAAAATAAATAACAATATGGGGATGAGGTAGTTGGGTGGGCTAATTTCAGATGGGCTGTGTACAGGTGCAGTGATCGGTAAGGTGCTCTGACAACTGATGCTTAAAGTTAGTGAGGGAGATAAGTGTCTCCAGCTTCAGAGATTTTTGCAATTTGTTCCAGTCATTGGCAGCAGAGAACTGGAAGGAATGGCGGCCAAAGGAAGTGTTGGCTTTGGGGATGACCAGTGAGATATACCTGCTGGAACGCAGACTACGGGTGGGTGTTGCTATGGTGACCAATGAGCTAAGATAAGGCGGGGATTTGCCTAGCAGTGATTTATAGATGGCCTGGAGCCAGTGGGTTTGGCGACGAATATGTAGTGAGGACCAGCCAACAAGAGCGTACAGGTCACAGTGGTGGGTAGTATATGTGGCTTTGGTGACAAAACTGATGGCACTGTGATAGACTACATCCAATTTGCTGAGTAGAGTGTTGGAGGCTATTTTGTAAATGACATCAAGGATCGGTACAACGGATACGTCAAATTGTGGCTTTCACGATGGGATCCATTTTGGCTTAGACATCCGCCGAAGTCAAGGATCGGTAGGATAGTCAGTTTTTACGAGGGCATGTTTGGCAGCATGAGTGAAGGAGGCTTTGTTGCGAAATAGGAAACAATTCTAGATTTAACTTTGGATTGGAGATTCTTAATGTGAGTCTGGAAGGAGAGTTTACAGTCTAACCAGACACCTAGGTATTTGTAGTTGTCCACATACTCTAGGTCAGACCCGTCGAGAGTGGTGATTCTAGTCGGGTGGGCGGGTGCCAGCAGCGTTCGGTTGAAGAGCATGCATTTAGTTTTTACTAGTGTTTAAGAGCAGTTGGAGGCTACTGAAGGAGTGTTGTATGGAATTGAAGCTCGTTTGGAGGTTTGTTAACACAGTGTCCAATGAAGGGCCAGATGTATACAAAATGGTGTCGTCTGCGTAGAGGTGGATCTGAGAGTCACCAGCAGCAAGAGCGACGTCATTGATATACACAGAGAAAAGAGTCGGCCCAAGAATTGAACCCTGTGGCACCCCCATAGAGACTGCCATAGGTCCAGACAACAGGCCCTCCGATTTGACACATTGAACTCTATCTGAGAAGTAGTTGGTGAACCAGGCGAGGCAGTCATTTGAGAAACCAAGGCTATTTAGTCTGCCAATATGAATGCGGTGGTTGACAGAGTCGAAAGCCTTGGCCAGGTCAATGAAAACGGCTGCACAGTACTGTCTATTATCGATCGCGGTTATAATATCGTTTAGGACCTTGAGCGTGGCTGAAGTGCACCCATGACCAGCTCGGAAACCGGATTGCATAGCGGAGAAGGTACGGTGGGATTCGAAATGGTCGGTGATCTGTTTGTTGACTTGGCTTTCAAAAACTTTTGAAAGGCAGGGCAGGATGGATATGGGTCTGTAACAGTTTGGATCTAGAGTGTCACCCCCTTTGAAGAGGGGGATGACCGCGGCAGCTTTCCAATCTCTGGGGATCTCAGACGTTACGAAAGAGAGGTTGAACAGGCTAGTAATAGGGGTTGCGACAATTTCGGCGGCTAGTTTTAGAAAGAAAGGGTCCAGATTGTCTAGCCCAGATGATTTGTAGGGGTCCAGATTTAGCAGCTCTTTCAGAACATCAGCTGTCTGGATTTGTGTGAAGGAGAAGCGGGGGGGGCATGGGCAAGTTGCAGCGGAGGGTGCAGAGCTGGTGGCCGGGGTAGTGGTAGCCAGGTGGAAAGCATGGCCAGCCGTAGCAAAATGCTTGTTGAAATTCTCGATTATTGTAGATTTATCGGTGGTGATAGTGCTTCCTAGCCTCAGTGCAGTGGGCAGCTGGGAGGAAGTGCTCTTATTCTCCATGGACTTTACAGTGTCCCAAAACTTTTTGGAGTTAGTGCTACAGGATGCAAATTTCTGTTTGAAAAAGTTAGCCTTTGCTTTCCTGACTGCTTGTGTATATTGGTTCCTAACTTCCCTGAAAAGTTGCATATCGCGGGGGCTATTTGATGCTAATGCTGTACGCCACAGGATGTTTTTGTGCTGGTCAAGGGCAGTCAGGTCTGAGGAGAACCAGGGGCTATATCTGTTCTTAGTTCTGTATTTTTTGAATGGGGCATGTCTATTTAAGATTGAGAGGAAATTACTTTTGAAGAACAACCAGGCATCCTCTACTGACGGAATGAGATCTATATCCATCCAGGATACCTGGGGCAGGTCAATTAGGAAGGCCTGCCCGCTGAAGTGTTTTTGGGAGCGTTTGACAGTGATGAGGGGTGGTCGTTTGACCGCGGACCCGTTACGGACGCAGGCAATAAGGCAGTGATCGCTGAGATCCTGGTTGAAGACAGCGGAGGTGTATTTAGAGGGTAAGTTAGTCAGGATGATATCTATGAGGGTACCCATGTTTACGGATTTAGGGTTGTACTTGGTAGGTTCGTTGATAATTTGTGTGAGATTGAGGGCATCTAGTTTAGATTGTAGGATGGCCGGGGTGTTAAGCATATCCCAGTTTAGGTCACCAAGCAATACGAACTCTGAGGATAGATGGGGGGCAATCAATTCACATATGGTGTCCAGGGCACAGCTGGGGGCTGAGGGGGGTCTGTAGCAAGCGGCAACAGTGAGAGACTTATTTCTGGAAAGGTGGATTTTTAGAAGTAGAAGCTCAAACTGTTTGGGCACAGACCTGGATAGTATGATGGAGCTCTGCAGGCTATCTCTACAGTAGATTGCAACTCCACCCCCTTTGGCAGTTCTATCTAGACGGAAAATTTTATATAAATACACCCAGTCACTACAAAGATACAGGCATCCTTCCTAACTCAGTTGCCGGAGAGGAAGGAAACCGCTCAGGGATTTCACCATGAGGCCAATGGTGACTTTAAAAACAGTTACAGAGATTAATGGCTGTGATAGGAGAAAACTGAGGATGGATCAACAACATTGTAGTTACTCCACAATACAAACCTAATTCACACTGAGAAAAGGAAGCCTGTACAGAATACAAATATTCCAAAACATGCATCCTGTTTGCAACAAGGCACTAAAGTAATACTGCAATTCACTTTGTCCTGAATACAAAGCATTGTTTGGGGCAAATCCAACACAACACATTACTGAGTACCTCTCTCCATATTTCCAAGCATGGTGGTGGCTGCATCATGGCAAGACTTGAAAATGGTTGTCTAGCGATGAACAACAACCAACTTGACAGTGTTTTCATATTTTTTTTAAAGAATGGGCAAATGTTTCACAATCCAGGTGTAGAAAGCTTAGACTTACCCAGCAAGACTCACAGCTGTCATCGCTGCCAACGGTGATTCTACAAAGTTTTGACTCGGGTGGGAATACTTACAGTGCCTTCGGAAAGTATTCAGACCCCTTGACTTCTTCCACATTTTATTACAGCCTTATTCCCTCTCATCAATTTACACACAATACCCCATAATGATGCTGCCACCACCATGCTTCACCGTAGGGATGGTATTGGCCAGGTGATGAGCGGTTCCTGGTTTCCTCCAGACGTGACGCTTGGCATTCAGGCCAAAAAGAGTTCAATCTTGGTTTCATCCGACCAGAGAATCTTGTTTCTCATGATCAGAGTCCTTTAGGTGACTTTTGGCAAACTCTAAGCGGGCTGTCATGTGCCTTTTACTGAGGAGTGGCTTCCATCTGGCCACTCTACCATAAAGGCTTGATTGGTGGAATGCTGCAGAGATGGTTGTCCTTCTGGAAGATTCTCTCATCTCCACAGAGGAACTCTGGAGCTCTGTCAGAGTGACCATCGGGTTCTTGGTCACCTCCCTGACCAAGGCCCTTCTCCACCGATTGCTCAGGTTGGCCGGGCGGCCAGCTCTAGGAAGAGTCTTGGTGGTTCCAAACTTCTTCCATTTAAGAATGATGGAGGCCACTGTGTTCTTGGGGACCTTCAAGGCTGCAGAAATGTTTTGGGACCATTCCCCAGATCTGTGCCTCAACACAATCCTGTCTTGGAGCTCTACGGACAATTCCTTCGACCTCATGGCTTGGTTTTTGCTCTGACATGCAATGTCAACTGTGGGACCTTATCTAGACAGGTGTGTGCCTTTCCAAATCATGTCCAATCAATTGAATTTACCACAGATGGACTCCAATCAAGTTGTAGAAACATCTCAAGGATGATCAATGGAAACAGGATGCACCTAAGCTCAATTTCGAGTCTCATAGCAAAGAGTCTGAATACTTACGTAAATGAGATATTTCTGTATTTCATTTTCAATCAATTTGCTAACATTACTAAAAACATGTTTCCACTTTGTCATTATGGGTAGTGGGTGTAGATTGGTGAGAAAAACATCAATTGAATCCATTTTGAATTCAGGCTGAAACAACAAAATGTGGAATAAGTCAAGGGGTATGAATACTTTCTGAAGACACTGTACTTCCATTCATATTTTCAACTGGTACCGGGGAACCTTCAAGACGAGTCTAGGCAGATTGGCGGTACCGACTTCAGACGAGTCCCGTGACCTTGTGGTGGTCATAGACCGATCTTCGGGTTGTCTCAGTCTGACAAACAACGCTGTAGCTCGGCCACCTTCCACCGCTGTAGCTCGGCCACCTTCCACCGCTGTAGCTCGGCCACCTTCCACCGCTGTAGCTCGGCCACCTTCCACCGCTGTAGCTCGGCCACCTTCCACCGCTGTAGCTCGGCCACCTTCCACCGCTGTAGCTCGGCCACCTTCCACCGCTGTAGCTCGGCCACCTTCCACCGCTGTAGCTCGGCCACCTTCCACCGCTGTAGCTCGGCCACCTTCCACCGCTGTAGCTCGGCCACCTTCCACCGTAGATGCGGAAGGCCGCCATTGGCGGATGTGGTGGATTGAGAAAGAGCCCACGGATCTCTGGTTTAAAACAGACGGATGTTGATGCAGATGTTTTTATTATGCTAATTCGATTTCTGCAGGGGCTCAGACATCGACTGTAGGGGGTTAAAGGGCGTGTGTGTCTCAGTCACCAGATCTCAACCCAATTGAACACTTATGGGAGATTCTGGAGTGGCGACAGAGAGCGTTTTCCACCACCATCAACAAAACACCAAATGATGGACTTTCTTGTGGAAGAATGGTGTTGCATCCCTCCAATAGAGTTCGATACACTTGTAGAATCTATGCCAAGGAGCACTGAAGCGGTTCGTCGTGGCCCAACGTCCTATTAAGACACTTTATGTTGGGGTTTCCTTTATTTTGGCAGTTACCTGTAGCTTCTATGTGATAGTAGTTGTCGTCTGGCTCTAGCTAATGGCTGCAGTCGTTAGTGTAAACCTTCCATGACCAAATGAAGATACCTTTCTTTGCCTGTTCAGCGGACTGACGTTAGCTAACTATTAATAAGAGAAGTTTCATTGGTGACGTATTGGCTTAGATGTGAGCATCAACCAATCCCTACTTGTAGTAGTGACTATCATCAGGACCATAATGCACCTAGAAGACGAGCCATTAAGGCAGCTTGGTGTATATGTCTGCACCCAGCTGCTTTAATGGCTGTGTACTGTGTCCATAGATCCCAGACTAGACTATACGTACAGAGTCCTCCTCCTCCAGCTCTCTCTATCCCAGACTAGACTATACGTACAGAGTCCTCCTCCTCCAGCTCTCTCTATCCCAGACTAGACTATACGTACAGAGTCGTGTCCTGTGTCCATAGATCCCAGACTAGACTATACGTACAGAGTCCTCCTCCTCCAGCTCTCTCTGCTGCTCCTGCTGTCTCTTAGCCTTCATCTCCATGGACTCAGTGATCAGGTCTCTCAGGATGGTGACTGGCTTGGCTGCCGTGATGAACGGATGCTACAGGAGAGATGGAGAGGAGGAAGTCAGTCAGTTGATGAAGCTCCACATGCCTGACAGTGGTTTTATATGTTGGTAGACGAAGGGACATCACAGACAGTCAAATGGCAAGGTGCTACGAGAAGATGAGCGGGACAAGATGACAGACTGTGTTTTTATACGAATATACAGGAGTGGGTCTGTCTGTCTGCCTGCCTGCCTGTCTGCCTGTCTGTCCCACCTGTAGTTGTCTGTCTGCCTGTCTGACCTGTAGTTGTCTGTCTGTCTGTCTGTCTGCCTGTCTGACCTGTAGTTGTCTGTCTGTCTGTCTGTCTGTCTGCCTGTCTGTCTCCCACCTGTAGTAGCAGTGTGGCTGTAGCTCTCCTCACCTGTAGTAGCAGTGTGGCTGTAGCTCTCTGTCTGTAGCTCTCCTCACCTGTAGTAGCAGTGTGGCTGTAGCTCTCTGGCTGTAGCTCTCCTCACCTGTAGTAGCAGTGTGGCTGTAGCTCTCTGTCTGTCTGTCTCTCACCTGTAGTAGCAGTGTGGCTGTAGCTCTCTGTCTGTAGCTCTCCTCACCTGTAGTAGCAGTGTGGCTGTAGCTCTCTGGCTGTAGCTCTCCTCACCTGTAGTAGCAGTGTGGCTGTAGCTCTCCTCACCTGTAGTAGCAGTGTGGCTGTAGCTCTCCTCACCTGTAGTAGCAGTGTGGAGTGTGGCTGTAGCTCTCTCACCTGTAGTAGCAGTGTGGCTGTAGCTCTCTCACCTGTAGTAGCAGTGTGGCTGTAGCTCTCCTCACCTGTAGTAGCAGTGTGGCTGTAGCTCTCTGTCTGTAGCTCTCCTCACCTGTAGTAGCAGTGTGGCTGTAGCTCTCTGGCTGTAGCTCTCCTCACCTGTAGTAGCAGTGTGGCTGTAGCTCTCTCACCTGTAGTAGCAGTGTGGCTGTAGCTCTCTGGCTGTAGCTCTCCTCACCTGTAGTAGCAGTGTGGCCGTAGCTCTCTGTTCTGGGTTCTTCACCAGACATTTCTTTACAAAGTGTGTGAAGTCGTCTGTCCACAGCTCAGGCTTCCTGAACGTAGGAGGTGGGTTGGTTGGGATCATGAAAATAGCCTGATAGAGAGAGAGAGAACGCCTGATGAAGAAGGTAGCATGGAAGACCTCTGGAAACCCTAATGAATGGTATGAAGACCTCTGGAAACCCCCCCCCCCCCACCTCTCTGATTCAGAGGGGTTGGGTTGAATACAGAAGACACATTTAGGTTGAATGCAGTCAGTTGTCCAACTGACTAGGTAATTATGAACATCAACATGAAGCCTGACCACCCTACATCTGGTCCGTCCTGCCCAGACTCGGACTCACCCTCATGGGATGTATATCAGCGTAGGGAGGTTTGCCCTCAGCCATCTCTATAGAGGTGATGCCCAGGGACCAGATGTCTGCCACACAGTTATATCCTATCTCCTGGATGACCTCTGGAGCCATCCAGAACGGAGTCCCGATCACCGTGTTCCGCTTTGCCATCGTGTCCTAGACAGAATAATATGAATATTATATCATCTATATATAAACTGAATCACTGCTTCAATCACAACAATAAAGTCAAGATAAAAACTCCTGATAAAACTGACACCAGATGACATCATAAGACGTAGAATTCCTCAGCAGAGAGAGGTGAGCCAGGGACAGAGACGGCACACAGTTAACCAACATACAGGAGACACCGGAGCCATCCAGAACGTGAGTTGTCCCGATCACCAAGTAGCCGCTTGCCATCGTGTGTTGAGGAGAATGTGCTTGATGTCTCTGTATCATCTATAATAAACTCGACTTCAATGGACTTAATTTCATCCATCCTGTGAAGATAAAAACTCTGATAAAACTGACACAGATGCATCTATAATCAGTCAGAATCACTTCATAAAAGAGAGAGAGAGGTGAAGGATAGGCAGCAAGCACAGACAGGAATCTCATCACAGCACGGCAGACAAAGACAGACGTCTGAGGCGTAGACAGAATGCGAACAGACATCCGAGTTCCCGTACTCCAAATCCACAGCTTGGCATGGCCGTTTGTTAGAGAAGTGCCTGCCATGTATTCCATAGTGGATCCTCATGGAAAGCAGTGAACCAACCTTTGGTTGAACTTAGGGTGCAACAGAGTGTGGTTACTGGATGAGTATATAGAAGATAGTCATATGATTACAGAGGCTATGAATCCTTCACAGCATGACCTGCTAGATCTATTGAAGCACAAAGGTCTCACAGCACTGGAGACCTGTAGCTCTGCCTGAGAAGTCTGAAGAGTCCACAGTCTGGCTTCCAGAATCTCCCACAGGTCTCAGCCTCTGGAAGTACCTGCATAGCTCTGCCTGATAAGATCTGGACCCAGGGCCACAGCTCTGGAGACATGCTATCTCTGATGAAAGTCTGCCCAGAGGTCTACATCTTGAGATCTAGCCTGGTGATGACAGAGGGGAGATATTTCTGCTCCAGCCTTGGAGACCTGCTAGCTCTGCCTGATGAAAGTCTGGCCCCAGAGAGTCCACAGCCTCTGGAGACATGCTAGCTCTGCCTGATGAAAGTCTGGCCCAGAGAGTCTCACAGCCTCTGGAGACATGCTAGCTCTGCCTGATGAAAGTCTGGCCCAGAGAGTCCCACAGCCTCTGGAGACATGCTAGCTCTGCCTGATGAAAGTCTGGCCCAGAGAGTCTCACAGCCTCTGGAGCCATTCTAGCTCTGCCTGATGAAAGTCTGGCCCAGAGAGTCTCACAGCCTCTGGAGACCTGCTAGCTCTGCCTGATGAAAGTCTGGCCCAGAGAGTCTCACAGCCTCTGGAGACCTGCTAGCTCTGCCTGATGAAAGTCTCTCATACATACAGAGTACCTGTCACACTGCTGCATGATGGATATCTCCTTGATGATCTCCTGGAGGTCTGACTCAACAGGCACCTGTTTGATAGCCACCACCTGGCCCGACTCCTTATGGATGGCTTTAAACACACTGCCATAGGACCTGGAGGAGATAGAGACAGACAGTGGAAATGATGCACTGAGTACCAAAGACCAGGATCCTGTGTTACATATTAGTGGTTCCATCAGCCATTTCATAAATAATCTAGTCATTATTATAACATCCATTTACATGAAGATCTCTTTACTTTCATTATAAGTCATATTCAGGTTATAATGATGAATGAATATTCTCACCCTTCACCAAGTTTTTCCAGAACATCAAAGACCTCCTCTGGCTGTTTTGTGAGACTGTCTTCACTCAGTTTCTTCAGCTTGCTGTGGAGGCAGAGCATCAACAACACATTTACATTAACGTCATTTAGCAGACGCTCTTATCCAGAGCCACTTACAGTTAAGCAATAGAATGAATTGAACGGGCATCCCCATTCAAGTCAATGATGGAATAATGGGAGGACTGTCAGCCATTTACTTCAGGAACAAGATCATCCACATGTATCGATCGCATTTGTACTAATACTGTAGAACTTTGTTCTAAAGCTGTATCCGTACCCATTGGATGCAGTGATCACAATATAGTGGCTACATCCAGGAAAGACAAAGTTCCAACAGCTGGGCCTAAAATAGTGTATAAGAGATCATACAAAAGATTTTGCTGTGACTCTTATGTGGATGATGTAAAAAATATTTTTGGGTCTGATGTGATTAATAAGGAGCATCCAGATGCTGCACTTGATGAATTTATGAAATTGCTTCTTCCAATTATTGATCAACATGAACCTGTTAAGAAACTGACTGTTAGAACTGTTAAGGCTCCATGGATTGATGAGGAATTGATCAACTGTCTGGTTGAAAGAGACGGGGCAAAAGGAGGGGCTAATAAGTCTGGCTGCACATCTGACTGGTTGACTTACTGCAAATTGAGAAATTATGTGACTAAACTCAACAAAAAGAAGAAGAAACTGATTTATGAAGCCAAGATTAATGTTATAAAGAATGATGGAAAAAAAAACTTATGGGTACTTATGGGCAGAAAGACAAATTCGACTCCATCTTTCATCGAATCAGATGGCTTATTCATCACAAAACCATTTGATGGTGGCAATTATTTTAATGATTACTTCATTGGGAAAGTGGGCAAACTTAGGCAGGAAATGCCAACAATGAACAGGAAGCCATCATATTCATGCATAAAAAAACTAATAATGAAAGAAAAGCATTGCAAGTTTGAATTTTGTAAAGTTAGTGTGGGAGAGGTGTGAAAATTATTGTATCGATCAATAATGACAAACCTCCTGGCATTGACAACTTAGATGGAATGCTACTGAGGATGGTAGCTGACTCTATAGCCACTCCTATCTGTCATATCTTTAATCTGAGCCTAGAGGAAAGTCTTTCTCCTCAGGGCTGGAGGGAAGTCAAAGTCATTCCGCTACCCAAGAGTGGTAAAGCGGCCTTTACTGGTTCTAACAGCAGACCTATCAGCTTGCTCAGAGTTTTCTTTAATGGAATCTTCTCGTATGTCAAACATGTAAAGTGTGGTGTACCACAGGGCAGCTCACTAGGCCCTGTACTCTTTTCTATTTTCACCAATGACTTGTCACTGGCATTAAACAAAGTATGTGTGTCCATGTATGCTGATGATTCAACCATATACGCATGAATTCACTGAAACCCTTAACAAAGAGTTGCAGTCTGTTTTGGAATGGGTGGCCAGTAATAAACTGGTCCTGAACATCTCTAAAACTAAGATCATTGTATTTGGTACAAATCATTCCCTAAGTTTAAACCTCAGCTGAATCTGGTAATGAATGGTGTGGCTGTTGAACAAGTTGAGGAGACTAAATTACTTGGCATTACCTTAGATTGTAAACTGTCATGTTCAAACATATAGATTCAGTGGTTGTAAAGATGGGGAGAGGTCTGTCCGTAATAAAGAGATGCTCTGCTTTTTTGACACCACACTCCACAAAGCAAGTTCTGCAGGCTCTAGTTTAGTCTTATCTTGATTATTGTCCTGTCGTGTGGTCGAGTGCTGCAAGGAAAGACCTAGTTAAGCTGCAGCTGGCCCAGAAAAGAGCGGCACGTCTTGCTCTTCATTGTAATCAGAGGGCTGATATAAATAATATGCATGCCAGTCTCTCTTGGCTAAGAGTTGAGGAGAGACTGACTGCATCACTTATTTTTTATAAGAAACATTAATGTGTTGAAAATCCCAAATGGTTTGCATAGTCAATTTACACACAGCTCTGACACACACACTTACCCCACCAGGGGTCTTTTCGAAGTCCCCAAATCCAGAACAAATTCAAGAAAGCGTCCAGCATTATATAGCGCCATTATTGCATGGAACTCCGTTCCATCTCATATTGCTCAAATAAACAGCAAACCTGGTTTCAAAAAACAGATAAAGCAACACCTCACGGCACAACGCCTCTCCCCTATTTGACCAAGATAGTTTGTGTGTATGTATTGATATGTAGGCTACGTGTGGTTTAAAAATGTATGTAGTTCTGTCCTTGAGGTGTTCTTGTCTATTAATGTTCTGTATTATGTCATGTTGCATGTTCTGTGTGGACACCAGGAAGAGTAGCTGATCCTAATAAAATACCAAACACCAAAAATGTTGAGTGTAGCCATGCCAGGAAGTAAAAGCAGGATGTGTACCCTTCAATCTGTGCTGTCATTTGTTCAGTCAACTCAACTGACATTACAAAAAAAATACATTCCATTGCATGAGCCACATCGGTTAACATCATTTGAATGAGCACTCAATATTACCATGGAAATCCAGCATCAGTTGATAGGCCATTTCAAATTACCATGGAAATTGCATCACAATAACAGGCAGCCATTGCGAGTGTATCCTTGAGTTTACCAGTGAAATTGCCAGGGTTAGAGCAAATATTTTTTATAACCAACCCAAGACAGACCACAGCCTGTTGTTTCCAATGGGAGCAAATTAATCATAGTAGGCAGAACAAGAAAGGAGGTGGGCAGAGCCGAGCATGAGCTAGCGAGAGCCTATTGGCACATTCTAGCATGTATTTACTTATTTTCGTTAGGAACACCTACTCTGTGAAGTGCGAGTGTGCAATAACTCAATTCGCCCTTGCACTCCTAAACAACACACTTTTTTGAAACTTTGGCAAAGGGTAAAGTCTACAAAACACTTAGTCCACTCTGTTCGTAACATTCTAGTTTTGGAAACAGAAAACTGTAGAGATCAACTCTTTCATCAATGAGAAAATTAGCAGAATATCGTCCAAAATCAATTTCTGCTACTGGGCTTCCCCTCACTACCATTATTTGTTAATGAGCGGAAACGCCAACCGGATGCTTCACATTTATACATCCGGTAAAATATCTGTCTCATTGTTCTGTCTGTGGCTAGAGGGTCCAAGCCCGTTCTATTCATTCTATTTCTATGGCATCAACAACAGACTGGAATTGTGGCACTGGGTCTACAGGGAGTTTTATATAATTTATGCTAAAGTAGCTAGCTAGCTTTTCAGGCCAAAAAAAAAGTAAACATTACAAGAACCCACAATTGTCAGTTAACGTTAGTTTCTGTCTAGCTAGACAACTAGCTAACGGTAGCTAGCTAGTAGTTAGTTAAATGAAGGATATGTAATACATCTCTACTGTTAGCTAGTTAGATAACTAACGTTACAAGTCAAAGTGGTGACGCTAACGTTAGCTAGCTATCTTATAAGAAATTACAAATATTGTTAGCAAACTTGCTAACGTGGCTAGTTAGTTAGCTACAGCCACAGATTGAAAAATATTTGCTATAGCTGTCAAGGCTAATTTAGCGAGCTAACTAACGTACTTGAATTCTACTTTTCCAAGCGAATCAAACGTACACACACCTTTTGGGCGCTGTCGGCTCCATGGTTTACAACTTCAGAAGTTCTCCCTGGAGTTTACAAATGCTGAACTATAACAAAATCAGAATACTATTTGTAATGTTTTCATTCTTTGTTGTCGTTGTTTTCAGGCAAGTTAGCCAGCTGAATCCTATTCGGTTGTGCCGTGTGTCATGGCGCTTACATCAACAGAACAGTGCCTTCTGCTTTCTTCTTCTTCGGTGGGTTTTATGACTACAACCCCAAAAGGTGTATTGCCGCCACCAGCTGGACGGGGTTGAAAAAACAAGGTAAAAAGAAAACCCATACGTGATGGGGAAAACTAACTTAATCCACCCAAATAAAAATAATACATAGACAAAAAACTAAACTAAACTTCCACTTCTTCCTTCCTTCCTTCCTTCAAATCTCCATACCTCCCTTCTCCCCGGCTCTAGGGCCTGAGAGGGTGGTATGGCTTGTGACAATACATTTTACATTTACGTCATTTAGCAGACGCTCTTATCCAGAGCGACTTACAGTTAGTGAGTGCATACATTATTTATATTTTTTCATACTGGCCCCCCGTGGTAATCGAACCCACAACCCTGGCGTTGCAAACGCCATGCTCTATCAACTGAGCTACATCCCTGCCGGCCATTCCCTCCCCTACCCTGGACGAATTGCGCGCCGCCCCATGGGTCTCCTGGTCGCGGCCTTAGACCACTGCGCCACTCGGGAGACACGATACTCCATGCAACTCCGGCGAGAAGTCTTTCAGTCCCAGGAACTGCTGATCCACAATTACATCTATTTTCCTGGACTTCCTCGATCTCCACCTTGGCAGTGCCATTTATCTCCATAGCTATAAAGGCCACAAAGTCCACCTTCTTAACCTTTAAAATGTCAGGGTCCTGCTGGTGAAAGGCAACCCCTGCAGCCTGCAGTGAAGGCCTATCCACTACCGTGGACTCTTCAGGAGCACCATTCAAACCCTCAACCCTTTTAACAGCTGCTGCATATGAAATGCTCTGGACTTTGGCCACCTCATTCTCTTTCACCCTAGTAGGGCATTCCAAAGACGTAGCTTCATGGTTCCCACCACAATTACAACGTCACATTTTCATCACTTTTATAACACATGAAATAATATTTTCCACAACTTGGATATCTCGGCTTCTCCCTTCTGCAAACACTTGAAACATGACCAAAAGCTTTACAGTGATCACACTGCATTGGTCTTGGGATAGATGCTCTGACTCTGTAGTTAATATACCCCAACTAC